CCCATAATAGGACGAAACGGCCCTCCAGTGCTTCCAAGTTTTCCATAGTGGTCTAGCTTCAACTGACTCATGGTGTCAACTACTGAAATTTCGAAAAATCTCCACAAAAACCTCCTCAAATGTATATTTGTTTATTATTTTCATTATCAATAGAAAACAACGAATATATGAAGTTTATAACGCTTATTATAACTACTGTTTAAAAAAACAATATTGATCTAAACGGATTAGATAAAATTTAAAAAAAACGAAAACTTTATGGATATTAGATGAAAACAATTCGCTGTGATTTTATTAAGTTGTATAATTGGGAGAAATCACGTAGCTGTATCAGCATTTGAACCTTATTTGGACTTTTGTATTTGTGATGACTTTTTTTATTGACAATAGCAAACAATGATAATAATCGAAAGATATAAGAATTCAGGAAATTTACAAAATGAAACGTTGCAAATTTTGTCATTTTAAAATTGTTCCAGTAAACTGACATTAGCTTAATTAAAAATTAACCTTCGAAATCATTAAAAAGGTTTACCAGTGGTTGATATTTTTTTATAGATTATAGTTTATACTGATCGTCTAATTATTGTTTTCCTGAAGAGGCCTAAAGTGTTGAAACAACCGATAATAAGCCATTTGATTTCATAATGTATAAATAAAATGGAATATGTTTAATTTGATGATAGTTTACACCATATACTGAATGTAGATCAATAACCATGGAAGACTACGATTTTCTATTATGAGACTGTTTAGAAGTGTCCACCAATAACCCCGCAGAGATTTAGATCTAGTCCATCTGGGCATTGTGACGAGCGCCTTAGCTTTAAACTATTCAGCATTCAGTGATTTTAGCTTCACTGAATTCACGATTTTGACGAGACATCATCCATAGTTAAAGGTAACAGCTGGTTATATTCTTCTAGTCACATATTTTCTTAATCATATAATTTAAAACCTAATAGTTTTAACAAACTAATTTCTCTGAGGTGAACATTTATTTGAGTACAAAATAGATCGGAAAGTACAATGAAGCTTACAAATCCTAAGACAATGTAATCATAAAATTTAGCTAGAATTATCAGCTATAACAAAGTAGTTATTTGGGAAAATTTTATTTGATATAATCTCAGGGATTGAAAGGTAAATAATTCCAACGTTTCTTCCTGAAAACTTGCCTTGACTTCGTTTCTATACTCGGCACTCAATTTCTGTCAAACTATTCGTCTTAATAAAATATAGTATTACTGACAGTCAGATTCGAAAAGTTTTTGGATCTCTGAATCCTTAAACATGCAATTGTACAAAACTAACTAAATTTTAGATCAAGATTGTGCAAGTTATTAGTAACTGATTATGTATTTATTTGAATTTTAATATATGTATGATGGAAACATTCTGTTTATTGCTACGGTCAGCCACAAGATAGTTTATAAATAATCCAAATCGATTAACAAGTCGCAAAACCGTCATTGACTGTAGTGACCGGGACTTTCGTCAGGTGTGCTAAGTCATCTGCGAAACAAGCTACATACACTAGAATAAAAATAGATTGGGAATATGTCTCGTAATTTATTTATGTAAAATTTGGCAGTTGAAGATAATGAACATTGTGTCACTTCATACTTCATTTTTGAATGCTAACTGAAACACTATGGTGCTTTGCAGCTGTGCGTTTAAAAGAAGGTAGATATTCTCAGATTCCAATGAACAACCGTGAACCTATGAGGCTAACACAGAAAATGTGAACAAATTCAAGTACCTTAAATACTGATTTGATCTTGGCTTAGAAACATGAATAGAGGCTTGGAAGTGTTAACCAATAGATTCTAACTTGAACAAGAAATAAAGACAATTCAATGGAGAGATTTTTGAACATTACTTACTAGAGTTGTATAATTATATAATCAGAATATACAAGTCTACAAATAAAATAGGAAACGATAGAAAGTATTCTCAAGTATCAAGTGTAATGGAACAAATCAAGAATAGATTCCAAATAGATGATGATTGTCAAGGTGGATAAAATTAAGAAACTGTGAATAAATTGTGTGGAAATACATATATAGAAAGGGAGTTATGCAACGAGCCAACGAGTGATGAGAAAAAATTATTAAGATATTTTCCAGAACAGAAGTAGTTGTTTGTCTAAACAGTATGAAGAACAGGATAAATGAATCGTGTAACAATAGCTAATTAATGATTTAATAAATATTGAGGGATTAGTAGCAACAGAGTATTGAACATACAGCTAGAAAAGATGATCAAGACCACCATAAGACGAGATTGAATATATCGATTTTGTGCACATAGCTTAGGCTAGAATCAGTAGATAAAGCCTCTGCCGTACGCAAATTCTAGATTTGTGATGCTTTTGAACCACTTCTTTTGTCTTTTTGAATAACGTGGGAGGAAGATTCTAAAGGGGCAGGATTACCATAATGAAGTTGTTGATTGACTATAGTAATGTTTTTGATAACCATCCAGAGGAATGCTAAGATATACGGTTATTGAGAGCCCTTTTATTGTGGACGATGTAACCTGCTCTACAAGAACAAGTAAATTTGTAGATGTATATTGATTCTGGTCTAATGGTTTACTAAGAGCTCAAAACAAACTGTGATGTTTCGGTATTTACTTTCGAAGACTTGAGCGACAGAGTTCTCACGTAGTTGCACAAACTGAAAACAAAGCAAATCGATTCAGCCCTATCTCTTATTTTTATCTATTTTCTACAATTTCCACACTAGTCTCATTATCATTACAGTTTATTCTAGTCAACAATGAATAGTTATTAACTGAATCTGCGAAGATGGAGTACTTACAAATGTTATCAGTAGTATGGTGAATTAAAAACAACGATTTTGACTTGAAAATTAAACAGAATGAATATAATGAATACACTTACTCATCATAGAAATTTTAAAAAACGATTGACTAAATACATAACATGTAAACTAGATCATTGTTGGACTTTTTGGCCGTTTAGCGAAGTCGTATAAAGATTGAATACTACCCCAATTCTCATCTGTATTAAATAAATCACCTCAATAAAACGGTACAGTGATACATGTAGAAGAAAATAGTGAAACTACAAGTTTAAGGATTATCTGTCTAATTAATTGTGAAATATTATTATATAATCTTTAGCTCTTACAAGAGAACATCAAAATAACTTCTCATCTCTGAGTGGTTATGAAGTTTCATTCCTTAGGTGAGTTCAATATTCCAAACAAACTTAATGATGCATAGAATATTAATGACAACTTCTGATTTAATACACAAGATCTAGCATAACTAATAGTATTCAACTATTACCTCTGAAGTTGACAAACTTATTCAAAGTAAAGCCTGGTGTCAGGCAAGTTTGCTTACTCTCAACCTTTCTCTTTCTCCTGGTGACCAACTGGATCATGAAGAAGTCAACATCTGAAGGAAAACACGGGATACAATGGACATCTAGGATGCAGTTGGACGATCTAGACTTCGCTAATGATCTGTCCCTCCTATCCCAAACGCAACAACAAATGCAGGAGAAAACGACCAGTGTAGCAGTAGCCTCAACAGCAGTAGGTCTCAATATACACAAAGGGAAAAGCAAGATTCTCCGATACAACACAGAATGCACCAATCCAATCACAATTGACGGAGAAGATTTGGAAGATGTAAAAACCTTTACATATTTGGGCATCATCGTTGATGAACAGGGTGGATCCGATGCAGATGTGAAGGCGCGGATCGGTAAAGCAAGAGCAGCATATTTACAACTGAGGAACATCTGGAACTCAAAGCAACTGTCAACCAACACCAAGGTCAGGATTTTCAATAAAATTGTCAAGACAGTTCTACTGTATGGGGTGGAAACTTGGAGAACTACGAAAGCCATCATCCAGAAAATACAAGCGTTTAATAACATTTGTCTACGAAAAATACATCGGATCCATTGATCAGACACTATCAGCAACAACCTACTATGAAAGAGAACGAACCAGATCTCAGTGGAGGAAGAAGCACCGGAAGTGGATAAGACACATATTGAGGAAAGCATCCAACTGCGTCACAGGAAAAGCCCTCACATGTAATTCTGAAGGCCAAAGGAGGAGAGAAAAACCAAAGAACACATTACGCTGGGAAATGGAGACACATGAGAAAAATGAACAAGAATTGGATGGAACGATCAAGATATAAGAAGAAGAAACTTGTTGAAATACTTTATGCTGAGAATTCTATGTTGTACCAAAAGTATAATGTTGAATAAAGCTTCTTATAATAATAATAATAATAATAATGACTGGAAAAGGAGGCTTAGGACAGAGTGGGTTGGAGAATGCTGGTCGGCGGCCTATGCTCCATTAGGAGTAACAGGAATAAGTAAGTAAGTAAGTAATACATCTGAAACTTAAATAAATGAATTCTATTGATAATCCTTAGAACTTCGTCTCTAATTTGATAAATCAATACCGTTTTAACTTCATTAAGCATCAGAAGCTTATGACAATAGTAAACATCCCTTTCTTTCATCTATTATACTTTACAAATTTAAATATGATTCATTGAAAATAACAGTTTATTCCATAGTTAAAGAACTTTCAAATATGAAGCTCTTACATTCAATTACAAATTACACTATACTGTTATTTTTTTATAAATAAACCATTAGCATACAATAAAAAGTAGAGGTGAATATATCTTTCAAATTCATTTAGAGTCATTAATCTCAATCGTTGAGATCATGAGTCAATTGAAGCTAGACCAACATGGATAATCTGGAAGCACTGGATGGCCGTTTACATGGTGGTCTATCTTCAATTGACTCATGATCTCATTCATTGAAATTACTAATAATATCGACAAAAACCCTTCTGATATGAAACATTAATTTGTTATTCTACAGTATTATCTATTTCATTTGTAATGTTTTTTGACTTCCAATGTAACTCATTTTGTAAGTTTCTCTAAAAAACAATCATTTAAATTATATTATTATCACTCTTGCCTAGAATGAAATGTATCCAATGGAAACAAATTATTCCGAAATTCAAATGATCAATAATACTAACGATACTGATAACAAATTATTTGATGAAGATAATAAATTCAGTGGAATGTTAATGCAATGGGGACAATTTTTAGATCATGATTTAGATTTTACACCAGTCGATGCATCAACCAGTCGATTTAGTGATGGTCTCGGCTGTAATGAAACATGTATTAATGATCCACCATGTTTTCCAATATTAGTACCTCCAGATGATCCACGTATTAAACATCGTTGTATTGGATTTTCACGATCTAGTGCAACTTGTGGTTCTGGTTCAACATCAATTTTATTAGGTAAACCAAGATACAGGGAACAATTAAATCAAATCACAGCATTTATTGATGCATCCAATGTATATGGAAGTGACGATTTTGAAAATAGTCAGTTGAGAGAAACACTTTTTGATGAAGGTAAAATGAGAGAAGGTATGCCAACAGAAGCTGGTAAATCTTTATTACCTTTCAATATTCGAGGACAGGTAGGTGATGAAAGTTATATTATTGAAGTTTTATGTTTTCATAAAGCAATATATTGATTAACAACGAATAATCAACCTAAAAATCATTTAGAAATCGATGAGAGAACGTAAATATTTAGCCAGTTTATAACTTGTCAAGCGTAAAATCTCTTTTAGATCTCAACTGAAAATCAAACTTAAGAGATTCAAGTTATATGAAGTGCTCATTAGATTTGAAGCAGTCGAACGGAACACTTTGATTAATTTAAATGAATGAATCGGGTGACAGAAGAGATAAAACACTGGGCATATTAGTTTATGTATATATGTATCTAGATGAAGCCTTAAAATACTTATTGAATGATCGTAAATTAGATAAGGATTGTAGAAGAATAATATCAATGTAATTTGTCTACAGTGTGGTTTTGAAAACGCAGCGAGCAAGTCAATAGCCTGTCAACATTGATTCTTCACAATAAAACTTCTGTGATTGTTTTAATAAGATTAATTTATTACAAAAACGACAAACATGTGTTTTTGCTAAAAAATTAAGCAACAACCTCCGTTCATTTTCTTGATAATGAATACAGATTGCTAATGCTACAACACAATAAATCATGTCTCATATAGTGTATAATAATATATGAGTATTATTTTGGATAAAAAAATGCAGAAATTTCAAATCCGGAGAGTTGTAAAAAAGAAACTACCGAAATCTAACCTGTCATTGTACTGATCAAGTTAAGTTCCTATGAGGTTATTTATTTAAATGCGAATTCGGAGACGGTAAGAACACATCAAATATTCACATAATCAATGATTAATATATTGAAGTTATCAATATAAGTGTGCTAAATGAAAAACATAGTTCGGGAGAAATTCATAAAGTTCCCTTTCTTGAATTATATTGTTTACCGCGTTATGTGACCTTCAGCATGTATGTATGTGTCTATAAATTTGCTTTTATCTTTTTCACATTTAGGAAATGCTGAGTCACCCATTAATAACTAAGTTGGATACTTCTACCACTCCACTTCGTATTCATTTCCCTTTATTTCTTATGATTTATCTGTATCATTAGGTGTCTGGAACATACGTTCCTCGAATACTTTCGAATTTTTATATCCACATTGTTATTAAAGAGATTCGACGTCAGAATATATATGAAGTTAAATAGGATAAACATTTCACTGGTATCATTATCGTCCAGTCATTATAGAATCAAGGACGGGAGCTAAACGTCATCTTGGAAATGATTGGTCTGCTTCATTTGTATTTCCTATTCATAAACTAATCAATCAGAGGGAGATTGATTATGTATACAATGATGTTGAATGCTGTTAGAGGTATGAGGGTAGTTATCACTTCCCGGTTGCCCACACAGTGGAAGGGTTCTTCTAGAGGTACCTAAGAAGGGAATTGGATTAGAAGTGGTCTTAGTGACCTGAGAACTTGACCGCAGTGCCCGAAGGACAACTACTTGTTGCCGGTCACATACACGGCTGATTTGTGAGTTTCCGTGTTAGCTCCGTACTTACTGGAACCTTAACGCCGGAGACGGATATCCATGGGATGAGGCGAGGTGTGCATTTTTAGCGTCGATCTTTTCTAACCCAACCTCTCCTTGTGGGAAGGTAGCATCGCTGTTATGCTGGTTGTCTGAAGGAAACACCCTACTGCAGTACGACTTCGCTTTTGGACCTTGGGTTTGCTGTTTTTAGTCTTACCGCTCTTCAACCGACCTGTATGACATGGCAGGACCGTGAGGAACGATTATTTTAGCTAGTATGGCTCGATTGGTTCATCACGATTGGCAAGCAACAACGGTCTGGTCATAACAAAGTATATATTTTGATAGTGTAACATTACTCAACTATACAATATCATGTATGATGCACTATAGAAATACATAATCAGATAGGTTTACATCCATTTTGCTCATAGTTTCTAAATTTATTGAGGCTAATTGCCAAACTTTTCAAAATATTCTTTGTTAGCTGTAGGAATTCAATTAATTCAATATTTCACAACCATATGAGAATTCATGTGAAGAAAAAGAAATATATGTATATTCAGTAGTTGTTCCGATTTCTTGTTGCAATGTCCTGAATATATACTACTTCAAAGTCTTATACTAAAACGAAATGACCGTCGAATCCCTCCAAATTTTTAATGGTGATCTAATTTAGATTCATTCATGTATTCAAGTATTATACACAATAATCTAGTGTATAATTATATAACTCTTAAAGAGGAATACTATTATTAAGATCATAATAATACCATAAACATATTTAATCCTACCTAATTTAAATACTAATGATGTACTAAAGAAAAAACAATGAGAACTTCTCAGTTAATTTTGATGGATTTTTGTTCTCTGAGCTGGATGGTTTGGTCGTGGAGCTTTCATCGTTTTTCTGAAGAACAAAACTCCATCAAAATCACCCACCTGAGCTACAAATCTCCACTTCTCAGTTAAATTAACTCTAAGAGAAAAGAAACTATATATATATACCATCAAAAACATTTTCACTCTGATGTAAAGCAAATCAATTACACATGCACAATAGTTGTCAACACTAATATTCTGTTCATATAAACTTTTATAATGACATAATTAATAAAACTGTTATTCAAGAGAGAGAGAGGGAGAGAGAGAGAGCGAAAATAATAATAATCATGGTAACTCATTCATAGAATTAGATTTATTGAATCTGTTTTATTTTTTTATTTTTTCATGAATCAGTAAATAGTAGTTTTAATATAACATAGAATGATTGATAATTTTTATTGTATTATTCTTGAACTCGCACGATATTGTACTGTTTATTGATTAAAACAAACAAACAAGAACAAGATTAAATGTTTATCACTAGGATGAAGAGAATGTCCAAAATTTAATTTAATTACTTATTCAATAACAATAATGATAATAATAATGATAAGATTTTAAACCTGGATCTAAGACTAAACATTTATCTGAATAGTATGTAATAGCAAATAATCATTTATATAATGATAGTTGATCCCTGATTGAAATTCATTAAATAATTATGTTATATTTTTTTAAAAAAATTAAATAATAATGTCGATTTCAAGGCAAAGTAGGCTAAATGAGATTTAGATATCTATCTAGATAATAAATCATAGAAAATAGTAGAGAGAGAGATTTTTTAGTTGGATTATTAACGATCATATAGAGGTACACCTTGATCTTACGTAATTAAGATGTAAAGAATAATTTAGTTCGTAGATTGGAATAAAACTATTTATTTAGGCAATGATGAATAGTGGCTAACAGTGGAATCCGGTTTGATGCGCGTTTCGTCCTATTTGGGACCCGTCAGCTGGAGGCACCTGCATCTCAGAGTTGATGTTCACTCCGGGACTCGAACCAAGTGCCGTTCACTTCAAACGTCATCACGTTATCTACTCAGCTACTGGGTCCTGATAGCCAATAAGATAGTCCAATCAGGTGAAGTTTAATTCAATTGTTATTGTATCTTACCATTGTTGTTTAGAACTTCAGTTGATCAGTCTCTTGTCGGTATATGTGCATCCTGTGCGGACATCCAGCTGACGAATCCCAAGTAAACCGAAACGTGCGTTCTGGATTTCACTGCTAGCCACTATCAGTCTTTGCTTATAAAGCTTGTGAACTAAGACAATATAGAGGAAGACCGTGCAGGAAGCACATATGCCAACAATTCCATGATGTTTGGGATGCGCTTCTCCCCCTCTAAATGCAAGTTGTTGCTTCATGATTGGCCTGCGTCAACATCTGAACTAAAGATAGCGAGTGAAGTAGTCGAACGCGTTGACAACTTCACTTATCTTGGAAGTCTATGAGCCCTAATGGGTTGGAGTCTGACGAAATCTCTGCACAGATTCAAGAAGCTCGTTTGGCTTTCGCTAACTAATGTCACATATGGCGAAGGCGAGATATCCGTTTATCAATTGAGGGACAAGTATACTACGCAGCAGTTCACTCTGTTCTACTTTACGGCTGCGAAACATGGCCATTGAGAATAGAAGATACTCGTGAGTTACTAGTATTTGATCACAAACATCTTAGAAATATTGCTCGCATCTGCTGGGATCACCGGGTAAGTAACTGTGAGGTTAGACGCAGGGTATTATGGAATGATGGTAAATCAGTTGATGAGGTTGTGAATCTTCATCGACTGAGATGGTTGGGCCGCGTGGTACGTATGCCCGAACATCGATTACCATGACGCGCAGTACAATCTAGTGTTGGGGATGGTTGGAAGAAAGTTAGGGGCGGCCAAACCAAAACGTGGCATCAGTGCCTGAAGTCACTAACTTCTAGTCTGTGCCATGTTGGTAGATTCAGACTACTTGGTTGGGGTCCGCGTGACTATCGTAACCAAAGGTAGGAGATTTTGTGTGACATAGCTCAGAGTCGATCACAGCGGCGTAGGTGTATGCACTCCTTGTCTTTCAACTATGAGAATAAAATAGCTTCATATTTTTCTTTCTACCAACCAATTCTTTCTTCCTGTACCCTACTCTTATATGCAATCTTTCTTTTATATTTTAACACCACTGAATTAACTACTTTTATGAATTCGGTGTTCATCTTGTTGTGTTAATAAGATGTGGTAACTTGGACCGATGCATATATGTGCCTTGTCCTCCGTTGTAGCTGACTGACTGACCGAGATACAAGTAAATAATACCAGGTGAACTATTTAACCAAGTTTCTTATTTTTTTGTGTTTATATTTTAAATAGGTTGATTGTCAAGCTGATCCCAAACAAGATTTTGTGCCATGTTTCAAAGCTGGTGATCATCGTAGCAATGAAAATCTTGGTTTATTATCATTACATACTTTATGGTTAAGAGAACATAATCGATTAGCTGATGGTTTACGAACATTAAATCCACATTGGTCAGGTGACAGAATATTTAATGAGGCTAGAAAAATTGTAGGTGCATCTATGCAAGCAATTACCTATCAGTCTTGGTTACCAATGGTATTAGGTGCTGATGGAATGCAATTGCTAGGAGCATACAATGGATATGATGATCAAATTAATCCAACAATTAGTAATGAATTCGCTACAGCTGCAATGAGATTCGGTCATACTATGGTGCCACCTATTGTGTTTAGATTGAATGAAAATTGGGAAACTATAGATGAAGGTCATTTGTTGCTACATCAAGCATTTTTTGCACCCGATCGGTTACTTAAAGATGGTGGTATGGATCCTATATTAAGAGGTCTTTTATTTAACGGTATACGTGATCGTTCAAGAAATCCGTCATTGAATAGTGAATTAACTGAACGATTATTTGCTATGGCTCATGAACTTGCACTGGATTTAGCAGCACTTAATGTTCAACGTGGACGAGATCACGGACTACCAGGTTATACGGAATATGCATATAAAGTTTGTGGATTAGGCAATTCAGCGTATCCAAATTCATTCAACGAATTAAAATCAAGAATTTCAAACCACATATTTTGGAAGGATTACGAAGAGTTTATGGTCACCCAGGCAATATAGATTTGTTTACAGGTGGAATATTAGAAGATCTTCTTCCAGACGCTCGAGTTGGCCCAACATTCGCTTGTATCATAGCAGAACAGTTTCGTAGACTTCGGTCAGGTGATAGATTCTGGTATGAAGCACCTGGTATATTTTCATCAGCTCAGTTAGCCGAGATCAAACGTGCAGGATCTAGTTTATCACGCATTATATGCGAAAATTCAGATAATATCACTGAAGTCCCTGAAAATGCATTCATTCGATCTAATGGTAAACAAGACCTTATCGATTGTAGTCGTATATCAAGATTGAATTTAGCTGTATGGAAAGAATGCCCATTTACAAGCGGTTTCTTAAGTCCACATCATGGTACAGCATACATTACTGATACTGGTAAATTAGAACAGACTGAATCTTTATTCGTCAAAAGATATAGACGTGATACCGTAACTAATGAAAATATTTCATTACAAACTAGGAATAATCACAGCGAAACAGAACAATTAGCGTTATTATCAAAACGAATTAAACAATTGGAAGATCAAATACATATATTAATGAAAGAAAAATGAAACCAAACGAAACATAAATAGGTAATAATTGCAACATACTTCTCGTATATATTTTTTAGGAGAAATAAAAGAACTAGACATGTTTATGCTTAAAAAAAGAACTTATACAAAGTGGTTGAATAAAACTTAAACAAAATGAGAAGAATCACTTTATCCTTTTTCTATTTTTTAATTATCAATAATGAGCTTATTTCATTGTAAATCATTTACAGGAGAGGAACTAAATTAAATCAGTAAGACTTTAGGATTATTAGAACATTGTATAATAATACTAGGCTTAGTTACTAAACTATTCATTTGAATAATAATGATAATAATAATAATAGTAATGTAATATGCATATGCTTGCTTACCTTTTTTAATTATCATCAATATTGTTACTATGAGTAGTTTGAAATACAATTCGTATAACTTGATCAAAATGGGACTGTTATTGATTGATTGTATTTATATCTTGATTATTGTTATCATTATTTAGTTGTTTACATTTGTATAATAAATGATGGAATAAACAAAAGAATGTTGTATCATTATGCCTGTTAAAACATATTTTATCATTGTGAATTATAAGCAGTTATTTGAAATTAAACAATTTTTCTTGAATGATTTGAGATTGTTTTTAAGAACTCAATTCTTCTTTGAGCCTTACGAAAATAGTATTATATATATTCAGTTAATGATTAAGGTAATTGATTACATGAACAGAGGTGGATGCACTACAACATCGAAAAGCAAATCACATGGAGACAACCCATATTACTATCATCCGTAATTAATTCTGTCAAGAAGTTGAAGTGATTTTTAACCCAGTTAAACAAATTATACATATCATCTATCAGAAGGATATTATCTCCTTTATGTGACAAAATACGGGAACAATACTATCATTGGATTAAGAATTGGATGGATCACAGACAATAGGTCTGTATGCTCTCAGAGTAGACTGATACGTAGGTTGTATCAAGAGAGGTATTTCAGCGTAGATAGTAGTTTATGCAGTAAGAGATCGTATGGAGGATATTGTAACTATGATATTCTGTAGTGAGTCCTGAAAGGAACAGCAATCAGATCGCGGGGTTGGTAGGCATTCAATTAGAAACTGAAATAAGGTATCTTGTGACCATGGATTTAATTGCGAAACAATTTAGCAAAAAAATTAGCGTAAGTGAAAGATTTATAATGACCGTCCAGAACCACTGATACTGAAAAAAAATGTCGCTCAAAATTGCTGAACATGTCTCATATAATTTCAGTAAGTAATGAGATAAATAAACATTACCACAAACTTATAATAGTGTTATTTAACGAGACGAAATTCCAAACAATATAATGACTTGACTAAATCTGGTAAAATGAAATTGCCCCTTCTTGATATTGCTATCAAACGACTAGTGAGACAAATTGTTATAAATGTTTACATGAAAGGTAATTTTATATTTCCTTAGCTAATCATTATTCGATTATGATTCACCATGACATTTTAAATTGTTTGATACATTCAATCAGTTGTTCAAGAGTTACACAATAAGTGGTTCTTCTGAACAAGTCCCATTTTGGCTACCTCTAATATATTTATCTGATTAGTTGTGCTATCATAAAAATCATTAGCACAAACATCAACTCTAACACAAGTGACTTGATACTTTGAAATGTTGTATGCAGCAAACATTATTTTTATTATAGAACTTCACAACAATGAGAATCTAATGAAATTTCTTTGCTAATCTGACTTTGTTCAATCATTGTTTTCACTATAACTCATTTATCATTTATAAGTTTATAAACTAACCGTTGGGATAAACTTTGTTATTACATGACGGTGAGTCAACTCGACCAACTAAACCGTAGTACATAAAGTCGAATTCGTTACTGTAAGCACTTTGTTTAAAGTCACGCTTTTGAAGGAATTACCAACAGCTTCATTGTTGTTATTAGATGTTAGTAGAAAACTGTTTCAGTGTCCTTTGTATTAATTTATAAAACAACTACACCTAATATTAGTTTATAACAAACAAACTCATCTTTTACTTCAGTATTATTAGTTGAGAAAATCCATCAAATTATCAAAAGATTGAGAAAAAAAGGAACTAGTCAATTCCACACATTTCAACATTTGTTCACTCTTATTTATGTTGATAGTAATGTAAAAGTGAGAATAAATTACAATCACATTATTGAATTATTAGTTGTGTAAATATATTAAATTTAGCGTGACATAATTAATCCAAGGCCATTTGTGAATCTGCACAGATAATTAAATTAACTGTTTTAATGAACGCTGTGGGACTGAAAGAATATGACATATTTACAACTATTCATGAATACACATAAATTTATTACCAGAGTTAAATACTGTGAAAGTTAACTTAGAAAAATGTTACAAGTTTTTCTAGTTGTAAACAACGTCATGTTCGTTTAGTCTTTTAGTGCTGATAGAATTTTATAAACTAAGTCGCAGCATGACAATTAGTCCAAATGATTCGACATGTAAGTTGAGATGTTCGGTAAACGGAGGAAGCCGATAGGAAACCTTGGACCTAGATTTCGTGTTACTTAGTAATCATCAGCAGGGTATACCTTCAATTCCTAGAGAACTTATGCCCCTGGAGGATTTAAATGTGTATCACATAGTTTCATGGTTTAAATTGTTACGACTGAGCTGTTTGGGAAACGACTGACCCATATGATTGAAATATTCATAGTGGGTTGGTCACTGAGTAGTTACCAAAGTCATGTTTGACTAATCCTTTATTGAGAAACGAATGAATTTGTTCAAGTATGTATATACTATTGAAGAGCCTATTATTTAAAAGTTAACGTCACAATGAAAGAATTGAACCAATAAGGTTTAATTCAATAGCAGTAGCGAATTCCACTGTAAAGTGAACTGAGCCATGTTGGTAGGTGTAGACTATCTGGTTGGGGTCCGCGAAATGATAGAAACCGATGGTTAGAGACCTTGAATGACATGGTTCAAAATCGTTTGCAATAGCGCAGGTGCATCCACTCTTTGTGTTCTCTCGAATTCTAATCTTCTGATTTCTTCGTGTCCCTTTTTTTCGCCTTCCAAATTTATTTCACTGGATTGTACTCCTTTAATAATGTATTCAAACCCTAATCTTTCGGAATACTGCTTATACTCTAAATATCTCTACCACTATGGAATTTGAATCGAAAACTGAATCTCTGTGCTAATGTGGTGTGGCGACTCGAACTGATGTACGTACGTACGAAGTCCTACGTTGTTACTGATTGACTGAGTGACGAATTTCAAAATCATTATTTATATCAAAGAAACAGTAATTCTAGTAAATACTGGTAAAGAAACTATACACTTATGACTTGTGATTTTGTTTTCTGGCAAACATAAGGATTCGTAAAAGAAATCACGAAACAGTATTAAATTGATGGATAATTAGTCAGAGCTAAAACGAACATGAAGATAAATCGTCTTCATTCTTGAAGTTACGATGGGTAGAAGTGAGAGATTAGCGGTTACTTCCCAACATTTATTGTCCACAGTGAACTAAAGGTCAAGCGCTCGCGTTAGAAATCGAAGGTTTTGGGCTCGATTCCCGCGTGAGGGTTCGTGGACGCAGATTGCTGAGGAATCCCATACTAGGACGAAACGGTTATCCAGTGCCTCCTGGTTTTCAATGATCGTCTAACACTGATCAGTTCATGATTTCAATGAAAATTAACAATCTCCACAACCCCATTATATATATATATATATATATATATATATATATATATATATATATATATATATATATATATATATATATATAATACAATTGTCAGTAATTATCGTATTAATTTATATTGGTGAGTTTTTCTTACTTCTGAAGTATTAAGTGTGAAAACAGTTTAAACGGTTTCATTATTTCTCTAAAATAATTTTGTACCAACGACTAAATCAGTATACGCTAGTTAATATAATGAGTTATAGATAATAGATAGGTAAGGATATTCGTAAACATACGCTCATAGGTATTATGAAGAGAAAACATGAACGTTTCAACTATTCTTCATCAAGATTAAGTGTCTACAAAGATAGAATAAGTGCATACTGTCATGATTATGCAGGTTAGTAAATAAATGTATGGGTTTCACTGGTAATATGTTTTTTACTATTGATTGGTCACTGAGTAGCGACCAGGATCATATTTGTCTAGTATTTTACTGCTGATAGAACTCTATTGATCAAGTTGCAATGTAGACTCCAATTGAAGTGACTGGACATCGTGGGTACTATGTTGAGATGTTAGGTAGTTGGAGCTGGTCAACAACAAACAGTTAACTTAGAACTTATGCTGTTTATGGTACTCGTCAGAATAGCGTACCTGGAGTTTTAAGATAATACCTTCTTGACAATTGTCAACTGACACAAAATCTAGGTCTCGGTGTTCTCTGTAGATTCACTGAAACTAACAAACAGCTACTTTCCTTTTAGATTATTCAAGGATTTGTTTACTCCAAGACAGAATATCATGAATCCACAAACTACGAGGAATTACTATGGATAACTTAATGGAAGAAGTGCTGTAAAGCCATCAGTCACCTGGAATTCACAAGGTTTGGATTTGTAGACAGGCTATATTAATTTTCTGTTGACTTAGAATCCCAATATTTTTCCATATATACCTTACCATAGATTTTTCGAACCATACTCCCAATATAAGCAAAGATGGATAGTGGCTAGCAGTGGAATCCAGGACGCGCGTTTCGTCCTGCTTGGGACTCGTCAGCTGGATGTACCTGCATCTCAGAGTTGATATCCACTCTGGGACTCGAACTCAGTACCGTTCGCTTCAAACGCCATCGCGTTATCCACTTAGCTACTGAGTCCTGATAGCCACTTGCTTGTGCGAGGGGGTGAAGTTTAATTTACTTGGTATTGTTTTACTTGAATTTTCCCATTGAGTCCCAAACAGGATGAAACGCGCGTCCTGGATTCCATTGCTAGCCACTATCCATCTTTGCTTATAATGCTTGTAAATTAAGGCAATATCGAGGCATACGCACAGTATGCACATATGCCAATAAGAGACTGATCAATTTCAGTCCTAAAACATCAATGGGAAGATTCAAGTAAAACAATACCAAGTGAATCATACTCCCAATGTTTAATCATTCTCCTTATTTGTGCTCCTACATTATTTCGATCTATTTGCCAGATGTATCATCAATTTTATCGCTTCGTCCTGATGTGTTATGAGGACTTAGGCCAGCGTACGTCTGCTCTAGGCTCTATGATGATCACTAACTAGTGAATGTTTAGCACTTTTTATACAAATCTAGAATTTTCTTGAAGTTAATATCTGTGATACCAATTATAGTCAAAAATTCATTAGTCATATGTGGTTTCCATATATATATCCCCACAAATTTAATAAATGATTCAAGCCTTTAATAATGAGTACATATTTTAATAGATGATAACAATCAAAATTAACTGTTAATCTGATAATGATTAACATCCAAAATAAATTATTATAAACATACAAATGATAAACAATCACATTTAACAATATTGGATGCTTGCTCAGTGGTCTACAAGTTAAGCGTTTGCACGCAGGACCGAAAGTCTTGGGTTCGATTCCCAGTTGCGAGGCCATGAATATGCACTGCAGAGAGGTCCTATACTAGAATGAAACTGGTGATCAGCGCTTCCAGATCTTCAATGGTGATCTAACTTACATCGATTCATGATTCCAATGAAAATTATAATCCTAACTGAACTCATTTATGTTGTTACATTCTTCTTCTTTGTAAAAACTTTTCTTAATTAGATTACTGTTTAAATGATAAATTAGAAAGGAAGACAAAGGCTGGGTAAAATATCCTTTTTGTTCTGTAATTAGAACACGAAAAGCATGTGTACACACATATACATGCACAAAAATGTACTCCAAAAAAGAGCAATACATAAGTAAAAACAACACAAAATTGATTTGCTTATTTTTACACAATATATGCATTATTTACAATTCAATATGAAAAGTCATCACACACAAAGTTGACCTTTCCCCACCCTGCCTACATGAAACCATTTATAAAAAGAAATGCATAAAATAAGTGAAAAAGCGTAAGTAGATCGAGATGGTCAAAGAGAAGAGATAGCAAAAAGCAGATGAAGAAACCGGGATCCCAGTTTGCTTTTTTTTATAGGAAATAAAAATATCTACATGAAACGAAAATGAGAAAGCCCCATGGGGTGACAGTAAACAAACAAACAAATTGCAGGATATAAAATAAAATAAAACTTCGCACTGTGTTCAAAAATTAACACAAGTGATGGGCAATTGTAGTAGTGGGTTTATGTGTGTGTGTGTGTGTGTGAGCAGCATTGTGAACAAGGTAGTCAAGTCTGTAATACTGTAACAGACAGCATACAACCAAATAGAGCAAAAAATATTATAAATCAAAAGTTGAGATTAACATTTCCATATGTATGTGTGTATGACACACATTTATGAAGAAGTAGAAAGAAAATGTCAAGGTGAATTGCCTCTGTTCAGTTCTATGTTCAAGAAACAAATGAAAACAAATTGAAATACATCTTATTATTTGACTGGTTGATTAATTGGTCTATCAGTTGGTTTAAGTTTGATGAAAAGGTAGAAAATAAAATTCAAAAAAAAAAAATTAAGACGGAAGTCTGAGTAATCTAGGATTGCAGTAATGTAAATATTGCCAACAAACGAAAAATAATAACTGTTTGTTTTTGCATTAAATTAAAATGTAGGTCATCAGACATATGTAACTGTTCAAAGTTGAAATGGATTCTACATCAAGTAGACAAATTAAATAGTGTTTACAAAACAGAAATAAATAAAACAAAATTTTTTGAGATTAAAATTGATTTATAAATAAATAAGACAGATAGGATCAGGCGCTAATTATTTATAAGATAAATTTATACAAATAAACATAAGGAAGCAAACAAATAAGCAAATAAGCAGGTATGTAACAGAATATGCCTATCATCATCCTTAATAATAATAATAAAATAAAAATAAGAAAGATCAATTATTATATTGTTTCATTTTCTTGCTTAATTGTACACTTACCAATAAAAATGCGGTCTGTCATATGAAACAAAATGGATTGAATTTGAATCAAATTACAAAATTTGAAATGAATTTTTGTTTGAAAACTGTAAAAATTCTCATTGATGATCTAGAAGTTAAGGTTATTCGAAATATATAAATGCCATAAATAGGAGGAAATTCGATCTATCATTAAAAAGGATGACCCGCCTTTTTTGGGAAAATAGAAAGTAACAGGAAATATTAGAAGATAACTGATTCAATTAACAGTTGAATATAGTTAATTCAATACAGAAGATAATTGATTAACAGTAGACCTGTAAACATACATATGAAGACAATGGTTTTTGTCTATCAAAAAAAAAAAATCAAAAGCCACATATAAATTATTTAGTACGAGAACAGCATAGAGCTGAGAAACAAGTACAAAAATGTGGAGGTTGATGCTTTGAATTGATAATTTTATGAGATACAGCGCTAGAATCCACACTACAATGACTATTAGTTGTTATAGATATTGGTGTTTTTTGTTGTAAGAAAATCATCATTCTGAGTACATTGTGTATTAGTTGATATAGATGTTAAACAATCGGATTTAACAATATTTTCTTGTTTAAATGAATGTTCTTTACTTGAAAACTTGGTTTCAGCACTCGATAAACCAGATTTATTAGGCTTTTCTAATCCCGATGAAACACCACTTGTTGTTATTTGTTCTTCAGTGTCTACTGGGTTGTTATTATTAATTATTGGTTGATTATCATCGGTAGGCGGACCATGAGGTAGGTGTTTACGCTTAAACAATCTACTGAAAAAACTTTGACTATGAGTGGAGTTTTGTTGAACAGGTGGAGTATCTGGATTTAAGTTATCTACTAAAGTTCCATCAGATTTATAAAATTCATTTAGGTCATCGAAACAACCAGTTTCTAGCATCTAAAAGAAACGAAAAGCAGGATGATAAGAATTTATAATAAGGAAATATATGATAACAATGACTATTTATTACCAATAAGTAATCATTATCTGGGATTGTAAGAGAAAACTGAGATCAGTGGTTGAATACTTTAGGTGATATAGTTCAAGATTGGTCATCAAGTTAAAAGAAAATTAGACAATTGACAGTATTTATGTGGTGTATGCTATTTACGTTGACAGATATAAGTAGTATGTAGCAGCAATAGGAAGTGGAATACCTGTCAGCAGAAGGTTGAATTGAAGAGAATAAAGAGACAGAAAGCAATTGTAATAACAACAGAATTGAAAGAATCGTGAAAATATGTAAAGGACAAGTGAAGAACGATTTGTAAATAATGTATTTAATGCATGATTTTCATATTTTACGAAGCCAATGGTGTTAATATCTAACCTCAGCCGATCCACGAAATTGAGCGACCATCTTCCATTGTACTGAGGTCGATACCTGTCTCTACCTGACCTAGTTTTCTACCAACCAGAATAACACATTTAGTTAAAGGCCAAAACGCTCTCCTAACGACAGGTATCAGTGAAAAGAGGAAAACAAGAAAGGTTTTCTATCCTGACCTACTTATCTTCTTACGTATAACACTGATAATGCCCATTCAATAATTGTGGTAAAAGCGATGTATGTTTATAGTGAATCTTTGGATTGATCCCGAATTCTACCTGATTTCACTAAACATTCAATAACGTCATTTGATGTCAACCAGTTGATTCACCATTGAATATTTCATAACCACACGTACTGCGTATCAACATTTTTTACACCAAAGGAAAATGTTTTATTGCAACTATTTTGTTACTATATGTTCAACAAATTCTATATATTAACAGACTTTTTTACCTACTGTAAGATAACAAGCATGAGGTTTACAAAAAGTCAGACAAAGAAAGTGTTTTCAGACAAATATATATTTTAAGGAATTTGTCTGAATTCAAAATTTCAATAGAACCTGGCACATATAGCATCGGTTCAATTCGTCAAACTCCATTATAGCAGAGAAAGATAAAACCATCCAGACAAATCTCAGAGTAGTAGTAACAGTATCAACAGTAGTATAAAGAATTATGTTTAGAAAAAAGAAACAAAAAGGCATAAGGAGATTTCGGGATTCAAGAACTAAGGGAAGATAGAGCGTGAATGCACCTGTGACATTACCAATGGTCCTGAGCCATGTCACTCAAAGTCCAAGCCATTTATTTAAGTAGTTGTGTGAACTCTAATCAGGTAGTCTACACATACCTACAAAGTTCAGACTAATAGTCAATGACCTTATGGACTGGAGACATGTATTGGTTCGGTCACTATTAACTTTCTTCCAACCTACTTCTACACTAGACAATACCCCCCCCGTCGGGGTAGACGGTGGTTGTGTATACGTAACACATATCTCAACCACCTCAGTTGATGAAGATTTATTTCATCAACCGATTAGTCATATTTATTTAGTGTCCTATTCCTAATGCATTGTTCACTCGATAGTCCCAAAATACACGAGCAACGGTACGAATAGATTTATGCTCAGTGGCTATTAGCCTACGAACATTGTGTATTTTAATAGTCATGCTTCAAACCCATAAAGTAGGACAGGGCGAAATGTTGTACAGTGAACTTTTCCTTTGGTTGATAGACGGACACTTCACTCAAGCTACAGGAGACGCAGGTGGTAGGAGCTAGACGGGCCTTCTGAATATGTGCCAAGATTTGATCAGGAGCATATGTATTTGGTGTTTCTTTGTACCAATGTTTATGTGTCTAAATAGGTGAATATAACTTCCCAGGAATGATAAGATTTCAGAGACAAGTAAACTAATTAACTGACTCAGATCAGCTTTCAATGACATGAAAAAAAAATTTGTTACAATTGCATTATATATATATTATTGATACAATGAGTTTTACTCCTTTGATTTTCATTTAGATGAAGGACTGCTGCTTACACTTTTCGCATAATTGAATATATTCACAATGATTAATATTATACACTTACTTCATTCTGCCATGGTATACTGACAGCACCAGAACAAAACTTTTTATAAAATTCCATATCTTTATTGTCTAAAGTAACACCTTTAATTGTAGAGAACTGTTCAATATCTAAGACATCCTTTGCGTAAACTGCATGAGGCTGCAAGATAAAGACAAAAAATAAATAGGAAAAACAGAAAACAAATGAACAAACAATTGGTAATTCGATAACAAAAGTCTTATCAATAGTTAGACGTTGGAAATAGAAGGTCAAATGTGAGTAAATAGACTTAGGATAGTCATCACAAAACATTAAAATCATTACGTAATAAGAAGTGTGTAAATAATTAGATAGTGAAGAATACAAACGGAAAGAGGCGGAAAGTTACAAACAAATAATGGATGTGAAAATAAGGTTAACGATAACAAAAACAAAATGAAATAAATAAATAATAATAAAAACCAAAAAAATCGTTTGTTAAGTTATAACTGGCCATGGAAGGGATAGGGGATTACGAATTTCTTCTTTACACATAAATTGGGGTTATATGTACGAATTCCTATGGCTTCAGTTATATGTAGGAGGCGGGAACGGACTCCGTTAGGAAATGACGGAGGTATACAATAGATCAATCGAAATGATTTCGATTTATCTACAGCATGACTGCTATCAATAAGATATGCCAAGATAGAACTGCGAATTGTTTTTATCTGACCCTTTATAAACCAAGCTGGTAGATATTAACTCATTCGCTGGTTAAGTTACCTGACCGAGATCGGCTACCCCAGTGTTTTCATTAGGAAGTACATGTATGTCAATAAAGAAGTCGGAGATTTTGACTGTTCGTAAGAAACCTTTATACATGAAACTGCAATTCAACGGGGATGTGGCTAGTGATACTCTGAAATATAGGTTAACGAAAGTAATCAGCAGAACATTCTACGCAGCCAATCTTGCGTTGACTTTCTCTTGTCGACCAGTGATTTCTACGCAAACGAAGGATAAGTTACCTGAGTTGGCTTCCTCAATGTGCATTTACGAATTCAGCTGCTCCTGTGAAGATAGCTATATAGGGCGTACTACCAGGCAACTTAACATCTAACAGCTTGGTTTATAAAGGGTCAGATAAAAACAATTCGCAGTTCTATCTTGGCATATCTTATTGATAGCAGTCATGCTGTAGATAAATCGAAATCATTTCGATTGATCTATTGTATACCTCCGTCATTTCCTAACGGAGTCCGTTCCCGCCTCCTACATATAACTGAAGCCATAGGAATTCGTACATATAACCCCAATTTATGTGTAAAGAAGAAATTCGTAATCCCCTATCCCTTCCATGGCCAGTTATAACTTAACAAACGATTTTTTTGGTTTTTATTATTATTTATTTATTTCATTTTGTTTTTGTTATCGTTAACCTTATTTTCACATCCATTATTTGTTTGTAACTTTCCGCCTCTTTCCGTTTGTATTCTTCACTATCTAATTATTTACACACTTCTTATTACGTAATGATTTTAATGTTTTGTGATGACTATCCTAAGTCTATTTACTCACATTTGACCTTCTATTTCCAACGTCTAACTATTGATAAGACTTTTGTTATCGTATTTTATTATTCTTACCACTATCAGTACACCTGTCTTCCTACTATCAACATGAATTATGTGTGGTGACTTATTCTATTTCATTGTGATTATTGACCCATATTAACTTGATTGTTTTAACATTTTCGTATAAATATTCATGTATATTAGAGTAAAGCCTGATGACAATCTAATTGAAAACAATTGTTCACTTATATGTGTTGTTCTACTTTTCACAATGGGAATCTTTAAAATTGATAAGTGGGTCGCGCAATTTCGTGGATTGGTTGATGTTAGAAACTATCACCATTGGATGCCGGCTCAGTGGTCCAGTTGGTTAAGCGTTCGCGCGCGAGACCGAAGGCCCTGGGTTCGAATCCCGCTCGCGGGGTCGTGGATGCGCACTGCTGAGGAGTCCCACAATAGGACGAAACGGCCGTCCAGTGCTTCCAGGTTTTCAATTGTGATGGTCTAACATCAATTGGTTCAAGATCTCAATTAAAAATTAACAACAACCAGGTTAAGTTAAAGTACAATGATTTCATTGTTATAAAAGTAAAAAGATATCCATTCACTAAAGAAAAAAACCAATTTCAGAATTCAATATGTAAAATTTAAGTCAAAAGTGGCGGATATGGCCAAAACTAAGTCACAATTATTAAAAATAATAGAAAGGAGTCAGTGAATAAAATATTCTTTTCGACGAAATCATTTACTTAAGCTGTGTATTCGTGTTTATAGTTATTCGATAAGTATGAGTTTGTAGAAGAATAGAAGAGATTGCATCATAGAGTAGTGATCCGAGATTTCAAATATTAGAAGGTTGTGTAAGAAGGCGAAAATAATTTACGGGTCAGAATTATGACAATTTTTCACCCAATAATCTACAACGTCAAAAGAATTAAATTAGAGGGAAGTTAAATCAAAACCTTATGCATTACTGAGGCATTGATGAACCATCAATTAAGGGTAGTCTTTCATCCCACCATGAGTCTAATTCCCTTCTCCAGTACGTTTTGGTCTTGTTTCTGTTTTTATTATCATTTTGTAATTTTTTTAAAAAACCATAATCAGTCATTACTACCGTCTAAAGATCTTGTATGATTATTATTCAATTATTATCAAAACTTGTATGCTTTGTATTTCTTCTTCATATCTGTTAAATGGACAACCTTCTTTTGATATTTTAAATCTCGGATCACTTTTATGGCACAATCTCTTTTATCCCTCTATAAACTCATATACTTACCAAATAACTACTAATACGAATATGCAACTTAATTAAGTGATTTTGTCGAAAACAATACTTGCTTCGCTGAATTCTTTTTTTTCTATTTATAATCAATGATATAATTAGTAATACATTTCACTGAGTACATATTGACGTACATGTCATTCAATCACAATTTGTGGATTGAAGGGAGGAGAAAGGTGAACGGAAAAGACCGAGTGATATTAACCTATCTTAACTAAAGCCCACGGAATGAGGTCTCTAATTTCAGTTTGTAATGAAATGTCTAAATCACTGAGTTGGACAAAATAACCAAGTGTAAATATTATGAGTATTGAGGTTTGGACATTAATAACTTATTTTCTAATTATTTAATGTATGTAACAGTTATTGTTTGTACTTTTTTTTTTATCTAATTAGCTTAACTGAGTTATTTAAAGAGAAGCTCACAACTGATCAACTATACACATATAAATAGGTGAGAAATTCAGACAAAACTATTGCAGTGAATGGTATATTTTTATCTTTGTTTATCATTCGAGAGAGCGAAATCCAAGTACATTAGAATTTATGAACGTTAATTCAAATAAATATCCTCTACAATACCCTAATTTAATAAATGTAACATATGTAAGGGTAGAATCAGTTCAAAACTTCTAGGCTTGAAGATAAACAAACATTTTTTTAATGATTCTCGCAAAGATACTTCTTAAACATGTTCTTCTTAGGCATTTGGAATTGACTGAGACAGTTAAAATCTAACCGGTATTGAAGTATTTGTATGAATGATTTTCATTCATGTAAAAACATCTGGTCGACTTTTTCAAAAAATTTTATTAAGTTATATATTTAAAACAATTATTCACATTAAAACATATAGTTGGTGAAAATATGCTTAATTTTGAGAGGTTTTTATCAATGGAACCTGGGATTACCCAGTTAAAACACTGAAATGAATTCATACACCCTAATGTGTAACATTTCAGTTCCACATAGTAATGACGGCTTAAATGATTGAACATATTCCATTTCAGTTTCACTACATAGAGCACAATGGCATTTAAGCGATTCAACTGAAATCTCATAATTTTAATTATACTTAACTTTAGAATGCTAGTGATATAGTACAATCATTATCGAATAATATCGGTGGGCAAATATTTCATACTATGGAAATTAAATTATAGAGAAGCGATCTGTGTTGTGATCCTTATGAGACCTGGTGGCTATTCGTTTGAACATGTGTGGGGGCTAAGATGTTGAGAAGCTTTAAACCAGGACAAAACACTCATTTGCATGAGCGAGTTGAAATGTAATCCCTTTATTTATTGGCGCAACAACTTAAAACTCAGAAACAAGATCAAAGGGCATTATGTATTGATAAAACACTCAAAAATTAGCGAGCTAAGGAAGTTTAAATAAAATAATAATAAATTTCAAATTACCAGTAAATTTACAACCTATTGATCAATGAGCAGTGACCGATGTCATGTTTATCCATTCCTTTAATGCTGGTTAAATTTTATTGATCAAGTTTAAAACTGGACACTAGATTCAGTAACTCGATATTTTGTAAATTTTGGTTTGATGTTATGTCGTTGGAGATATTCAGCTTAATTTGATCATTAATAAAGGACTGTACACAAACATGACATTGAACCCTACTCGGTAATCAACCAATGCAAATAACAAAGTACATGTTGCTAATCGTGACCTGAATAACTCAGCGATAGCGTTTTGGACTGTGGATCTGGATAATCCGAGATCCAATCCCACAAAGAGCAATACTACAGAGGCTGAGATTGGTGTTCTGAACTTAATTGGCTGGGCTAGGCGGAAAGCAGGACCGATCAGGACTCTAAACTGCTCGCACGGGTTTTACGCGCCATTGGTCTGATCGATAATTCACTGCTCTATAATAGGCGGTCACAAGTATAACAATAGGTTCAAGTTGCTACACTTTATTAGCATAGAGAAATGACATAGTCAAGGCAAATCCCATAGTAGTAAATGTAGTGATATTATTGTCGGTAAAAGAAAATATCAAGCATGAAAGATATGATTCGAGAAAATATAAACCATTGAAATAAAAATAATTCTAAGGAATTCAAAAGCTTCGAATATGGGGGGAGACAAATAACGGATGCACCTGCGCCATTTCAAATGATTTCGGATCATGTCATTAGAAGTCTCTGATCAATGTTTACGATAATCGAAAGGACCCTGACCATGTAGTTTATACTTTTTAACATGGCTCAGTTCAATTGATAATGACATCACGGGCTAACGTCATCTTTGGGTTTGACCGCTCCTAGTTTTTTCCGGCCTACAACAAGATGACGTTTATGACCATTTAATATACAAATCAATTACTTTTGATAATTTTCTCATTTTACCGATCGATAGCAACACTTTTCTTTAAAAAAAACCCTGATAAATAGGTCGAATTAGTACGCCTTAGGTATCATTTTGCTTTAAAAGAAAAAATAACAACACGAACAAAACGGTTCTAAAATGTGACCAAGTACACGTCTGTGTACTCAGCTTTTCTGTATATTTAGTGCGTGAGTTTGAAGGATAGCTAGTGATACTATCCGGTTGGTCATATACAAACATACGTAAAAGTGAACAAAGCGCTTTTTTTAAAATTAGAACTTAATATTTCAAAGCCATATGGATTAGCTATTAATAAAGATTTTAAAAAAGACTTCATTATCGTCGTAATTTAAATGACGAGCAGTTGTTAGTTAGATCACTACTGAAAACCTGAAAGCACCGGACGGCCGTTTCACCCTAGTAATGGGACTTCTCAGAAGAGCGCATTCATGACCTCGCAGCCTGGAACCGAACCCGTGACTTTCAGTCTTGCGGGCAGACGCTTAACCTCTGACTCGGAGTCCAACGGTGTTAATGTCACAGGAATGCGCAAACATCATCCATTTTCTGTGGTAGATTACCGTCTTACACCCGACGTGGTTGAGTCCAATTGGTCACGGATTCTCACTAGAACTCCAAGAGTTCCATCTTGAAGCTAGTCACTAGTGAGCAGATCATTATTATTAGTATAGTGGAATTTGTTACGATTGAAGAGTTTTCAGCCTAAACCATTATTCATGAATATGAGGTTGTGGATGTATACTACTGAGGAAACCCACGCCAAGACGAAACGGTCACTCAGCGCTTTCAGTTTTTCAATAGTGGTTCAAGATCAGCTTGTAATTTAAGCCATGAAAATTCTGCAATCCACACAAGTCCCCCTTGACTTCTATATTGATTGATTCATTATGGTCATATAAGACCATACTTTGCTTTCAAAGTATATCATAACTAAACACTACACTAATAATAACATAATAAACACGAAAGTTTATACATCAATTCACTGAAGAAAAAACCCTTGTTTACCTAACAATAATAAAGACAAAACATAAAATGATATTGTTTTACTATCAGCATCCATTAATTTCAAGAGACTAGAAGGAATGAAACTAAGCAAACTAAACTGTAGGAATTAATATCGTCGTCATCATCATCGAAAAAATTACGTAATCACGAAAAACTAAACGACAAATTTATCAGGCTAGTATGCAAATATACACACCATTATAGATCAGGCAACTAAGAAATTTGACGTAATGAATTACTTTAAGTTATAATTTCAGACGTATATGTTGAAGCGAACACATAATTTAAATAATACGTTACAAGTTAGCAAAAATTAAATCTATAACCTAATGATTTTAAAATTAACAGTCAGCTGTGAAAGCATTAAAGGCTATTTGAACGATTGGTACTTTGATGAAAAAACTGGACAGTCGTTTCGTCATAACATGGGACTCTTCAAGAGTGCACATCCGCAACACTCCTAGGGACCAAACGTAACATGTTCAGGTATCGTGGTGAACGGTTGACTATTAGAACAACTGTGTAGCGGTTTCGATAGTACAACTGAACCTTCAATCAATATTCAACATAGCTCAACGATTACTCATTATCATTAGTGAAAACTATTTTACTTCCATTATGTCTGGACTCTACCAGCGATGATAAAACAATTGTACAGTGTTCCTCTGTTTTCAATAATACCTCAGCTTATGACAAATACAACCAACTAATTAAACTAATTTCCACAAAAAACCCTATTAACTAAAAGAATAATTATTCTTTAGTTACATCCTTAATGAAGTTATCTGTTAAAATATTTAAAAAATGGTACTAATCTTCAAGACATATTTCATTAATAATTGGATTTAACAAGAATACGAATTTCTAACACTATTAGTTGATTTAAATTTAATATATTTCAATATTTTAACAAATCTTAAAGTAATCTCAATAGGATTATCTTCAATAGAAATGTAACACAATAGATATGTACACATTTGGTATATCTAGTACATTTCAGCGAATCAGTCAGTCAGTCAGCTACAACGTACGACCAGGCACATATATCCATCGGTTCAGTGAATTAACAATGTAGATTAATTATAAATAATAAAAAGGTTATAATTATGAAATGATGAGATTGTAATCAAAATGTTTATTAAAAGGGTGAATTTTACACTGTAATCACATAGGGGATCAAGTGTTATATTTAATATGATTGAACTATAAAAGTTAGTTAGATATTTCTTATATTATTACAATTAAATTTAACATTATTCAAGAAATTTCAAAGGTTTATTTCTTTTTTTTACGTGTATATGTTGAACAAAATTTTCTTTTCAAAGAGAAACTTACTCAAATTAGTAATTTTTCATAAGTTCTGCATTTCTAGAAAAGTGATGCAACAAATTAGTGATATTTTTTGTGTAATCGTAAATTGGCTTAATTTATTTACTCGTAAATCTATAATTTATATACAATTTGATATTAAAATTTTAATTATTATTAACCTAGAAGCTTTTAGTTTGATTTTATGAGTAGATATAATTAGGAGCTATAAATATATATGTTTCGACTTTAGTGAGACTCATCAGAGAAATGAATGTTGGACTTGTTATATTCGACACTTCAACTTATTATTTTATCACTACTAACAAGATATTAAATGATCTTGTTTAAATGAGTATTAGGTGAGTGAATTAACAGTTTATTGTTAGTTAGACAGTACTAACCAATAAATATATGTCCAATTGGTTTATTGTTGAAATTATAATGTTATAACTTTAACTACGTTGGAATAGCTGTTTAGCCTAATGCCCAACGCTCTTGAATAGTATGAATCATTATGTTAGCTACCCAATTTCCAAATATTGTGATGTGAGATCGAACCAAGCTCTATCGGTTAGTATCTGTACTTATAAATTGTATCATTAACCATTAATATATATTATAAGAACTTATATTATTTGTAAGAAGCACAATGTCCGGACTGATAAATTTATTTATCGCGTACACATGTTTATTTTCGTAATGCGTGTAAAAGTGGTAAACTTACATCAGGAAGAAATGGTGCATCCTCAAGTCCAGCCTCTAAACGTACCCAATTGATACAGGAAAACCAGTTGTGATGTTTAACACCTTCGGACCAGTATCATCGCAACCAAGTCGACAATGTGGATCTTTTTGTAAAAGCTTTAAAAAAAAGGTATGACGAAGAATGTAGATTCGATTATACGAGGCAAAAAAAGAAGTCTAGTGAAATTTCATAAAATGAAAATTAACTATCACGAATGTGGATTAAGAAAGTCCTTAAAATCAAACAAGATTAATTATTACGACATGTATACTTAAGAAATACACAACACATCAACTATTAATTGAAAAAAATTTAAGCAATTTTTATAGGTCACATAGATTATCAGATGAAATCAACAATATTATTATTATTCACCTAAGAAATTTGAACTAAAAGCCAATTGTGTTTAAACTCCAGTATCTAATTCAATGAACTGGTTACATGTTCCTGAAAGATAGTATTTTTCCAAAGTAAAAGTATATTAATAGCCCATAAATATTAAATAGAATCCTATATCTTTTGTATTACACAAAATACCAAATGAAATTCTTTTAAAGAAAAACAGATTAGCCAAATTTTTGTATTTTGTTTTTGTTGAATGTGTTTACCTTTGATCGTGGGTGGATGAAAAACATTCAAATCTATTACGGAATACTATCACTCTAAAGATTTTATATACACATACATTGTTGACAAGTATCAATTGGCATGAAATTTCGGTTTTCTACCAATGGCTTTCATTTATTAAACAATAAAGAAGAAAGTGAACATTGTGCAATCTATCAAACCATATAGATTAGCGAACATACTGTAAAGTGTTAAATGAACATTTGATCGCATGAAATGATAAGATAGCACACAATATCGGTTCCTATTAAGTGATAATTAATATAAACTTGTATATACAAGCTTGAACATACTATAATTAGAAATTCATAGCGTAAACAGATTGTGATTATATATATATATATATATATATATATATATATATATATATATATATATATATATATATATATAATTCACAAGTGTGTATCCACGACTTCGCCATAGGTAGTCGAACTGAAGACCTTCGGTTTCAAGTGCAAACGCCTAACATTTAAACCACTGACCCGAGAAACAGTGGTATACATGTCTAAGATGGAAGAGATGACCAGTGCATCCTGATTTTCAATGATGGTGTATTTACGATCAGTTTATGATATAAACTACAGAAACCCTATCATCTCCACATAACCCTTTACTGATAAACAAAAAGGTTTGAATTGCTTCTGTTTTGATGAAGTAACAATCACTGAATTATTAAAGTTTAATTGTCCTCAGTGTTGTATTTGTAGCTTGAGTGCATCATAGTATCCTTCTTTTATTTGCTATCTATTACTAAACCCTACTGTATTATTTTTGTTACTATCATTTATTATTATTATAACAGGAATTCTACTTATTTTACAGTTCAGTAAAGCAAGAAAATTTATCCACTATGTTATTACATCTATCCAAGCTAAGACGCTAATCCTCCATGGAATTCATTGCATTTATTTTCTTCACCCAGTATTTTGTTTCTTTCTTCAACCATTACATCATTCAATAAGTAATCAGTGAAGTAACAATAATAACAAGTTACGCTACAAAATAAATATAAAACAACCAGTTGTATTTACGTCATAATATTGACAGGAAGTAGATGTGCAATATATAATTTGGAAAAATACAAATCATTGTACATTATGTAAACAGACAAAGATTTTTAAATTAAAACAGAAATTATTTGTTCCAATTATTTTATTTAGTTGAGATCATGAGTCAGTTGGAGCTAGACCACTAAGGTTAGACATTAACACCGCTGGATGACGGCTCATTGGTCTAGTGCTTAAGTGCTCGCGCACAAGACTGACAGGTCCTGGGTTCGTATCCCGAGAGGCGGGGTCGTGGATGCACACTGCTGAGGAGTCCCACAATAGGACGAAATGGCCGTCCAGTGTTTCCATGGTGGTTTAGCTCTAATTGGCTCATGATCTCATGATTTTCATGCTTGTTTGTTAATAAAAGTTAACATTATTAGTGTTATTGTGATTTTATAAATTTATTTTTTAACTGTGAATAACATCCCTGTAGTCGAGTACATGTTGATGTAGTCAGTATTCACTTACATTTTCTATGTATGCTAGTTAGTTGGGGATAGTTGATAAGAACCTTTGGATCTAAGTTTCATGCTAGTTGACATTCGTTAGAAAAGTACACCTGAAATCTAAAAGGAACTAATGGTACTTAAAAGATTCGAATAGGGGTCATTCAACTTAACAATCTAGGAATTTACCACTAAGTTATTCCAGTAGCAACTGACCTCTTATAGGATTGGGTAGTGGCCAATGTCATATTCGTTTGGCTCTTTTACCACTGATCAAATTCTCTAGAATTTTCTTGATAAGAGGGAGTACACAGGTACCACTACTCAACTTTGCAAGCTGAAGCAGTTGCACTGGGGCTCTAAATTATCCCATAATGATAATTGAAAATTAAGTTCTTAGAATGGTTTTCAACTGTAAAAATAATATTTGTACATGTATGTTAAACGGAAGCAAAATAATCCACATCAGAAAACCTGAAGCATTAGAAGTAATATGTCGGGGAGTTCCAAAATATTCATCGTTGAAGTGTCTCTAAAGGCCCAGAAAAGCCAGGAAACGTTTTAACCAATCGGTGTGGAATGGAATCTTCACAGAGACATATAGAAAACGCAGAATTACATGTCACGGTTTTGATTGGATATTTATCTATACTGCTACTATATTTAGCACAGTTCCATCAATGTCTATAAGCCGAAGGTCGTACATAACTCTATAAATACAGTCGTTTTTCTGCAGATGAACTAATCTTGGTGTAAAACTTTTACTGGCGATTTGCACCTTCTCTTATTGTTTCAGTTGACTTCTAGGAGTAGTTGGGGTTATAAGAACCGATTAGGAAGACAATTTAGACGTATCAGTAACAGGTTTATCATAATACATTTTAACTGTTGAGAACTTTGCAAACGTAATTGATGTATTTCACTCTGCTTACATAATCAAAGCTGAAAACTTATGGAACTATTCGATTAACTGACGAAGCTTTGAAATCCATCATGATGATATATACGTATGCTCAACTTTCAGTAAATTTCTAGTCTCAATATTATTTCATACGATTTTATTCCTGAATTTTATTAATCATTCTCAAATTACATATTATATCTTTAATTTTTCTTACAATATCGATGATACTATGATTCTAACAAACTTCTTTTTCATCATATTAGTTTACTCACTTCCTTAATATGCTGATGTGAAGTGTAGTAAAGGTTTATGACTCTAAACAGACAGACTGATCAAACAAGTAAAGTTAATTCAACTCAACGTTGATGGAAAGCACTTACATAAATTGATTCTTACAATAATAAAAGAGATTAATCGTACAATGATATAATAACTTACAGATTGACAAAATCTTTTTGAATTATCTGAAAATTTATAATTATATTCTTCTGTATCCTCACATACACGACGATCAACTTCTTCACGTCGAATACGTTCTTTACGTCGACGAAACGGTGCTTGTCCCATAATCATTTCATAAACAATACAACCTAATCCAAACCAATCGGGACTGAATGTATAACGTGTATTCATGACTACTTCAGGTGCTATATTAGTAATAAGTAAATTGAAGTTAATAATAATAATAATAATAATAATAATAATAATAATAATGGGCAACTGACTTTTGATGATAACTTGATGACAATAAAATTTAAATTCAGTGTAATTATGTCACCAAGATAACAATACAATAAATCAATTTAAATTACATATGAAAAACATACATTTTCTACCTATACATGCACATGCAATGAATGTACAACATCAACCATACAACAGATTCTGTAAACAATGAACAACAACTTTCATTAAATGACTGATCGTCTTAGGTGAATTTCATTTGCAAGGTATCTAGTCATTGTTCGATTAAAATCGAGCGTGTAGTTTGAAGTCAAAGGAGTAACAATAATGAGAAAGATTCAACTCAAAATTCTATTTAAACAATGAGTGTTTGAAATAAAACGATGAAAATTGTGAATACATCGTTTTTATCTGTTTACATATGATGTAAGGTGTGGGACTTTCAGCATTGACAACAGTTGTTAATTAGCCCTGATATTTTAAAAATGCTGAGAGGAACGAAACATTTTCGAAAATACCAAGCGTCAACCACTTGTATGTTTTCAATAAGAATGTAGACCCTACTTCGCAGAAGCAATAAGTCAGATCACTTGGAGATAACACTGATAATCAGCTCTGAGGGTTCTTTTTAATATCAAAAGAGTGGAATCATGAGTATTGAATCATTCAGCTTAGGGGACCGTGGAAAATTATGGAGCACCTGAGAGCTGTTTAGACTTAGTTAAGAACTCCAACACTACACACTCATTAACTAACTAGAGATCGATAGAGTTTAACAGTGTTGGAAGTGGGACAGATAACACTGACTGGACTGTATAATTGTTGTGCTATATTCCGTGAACCACTGAACTTCGACTCAGTAGAATAGAAGATATAACATTCAGTTGACAACAGTGTAAATATGATTTTCAAGTAACTTGAAATGTATTAGTTTCATCGGTGCACTATCATCATATATCTTTCCAGTGAATATTCGAACTATGGTCCAAATTCATTAGTATATTGCAAAAATATCTTATACAAATTACTCATTTATTATTTCTGAGCATAATTAGTAAACCTAAATCTTGCCTTTATGAATTACTCAGGTAATTATTCAATGGTAGGGTGATAATATTACAATTCAGCGTGGGAAAATATAAATGAGAATTCCAAATTTTATTCATGAATTAAAATCTATGGAATCAGCAACGTTTGATGTTTCTGTCAACAACTCTCATATTTGAATTAAAATACTGCTCGGATTTCAATGATAACTTTCAATTCAATGTACCAAAAAGAATTTATGGACAGTAGATTACCAACACCCATATACTATAGTAAAATGGTACCATAGTTCAATATTTGATAAAAACTATTGTTCAAAGAGAGATTAGTATGTCCCAAAAAATATTTTACTGCATCTACAAAAAATAATATTATTGCACAACACATTTGCATATGCCTATTCACAGATGACCTAGAAAGCATAAGACAAAACAAATCAGAAGGAAATGTATCCAATGTCATTGTATCGAACGTAGCATATGAATTCACGGTGGGATTTCCAGCCCTTAAAGGTGAAAATTCCAATTGTGCTAATAAACAAACGATATTTCATATATATATATATATATATATATATATATATATATATATAGATAGATAGATAGATAGATAGATAGATAGATAGATAGATAGATAGATAGATAAAACATGTGAGTGCTACACTTACCCATATAACCAGCTGTTCCAACCCTTCCTTTAGCTGTACCGCCAGGTTCAATATATACGGCCAAGCCAAGATCCGAAATTCTAACATGTCCTATTTTAAAAAAATATTATGATCAATGAAACTAATTAGTAGATAGAAATGCTTAATATCTTTAAAAATATACTTGAAAAACCATCACATATACTTTGTAGAATTCCCTTAAACTCAATAAAAACATGAAAAGTTAAGTTAGAAGTTATGATGAAAAATATCAGTTTATGGATTTCCCATTAGCATATACAGTATAATTGTTGTGAGAGAACAAGTCTTCCATTTTTCGTTTTCTCCAGGTTATTTACTAGTTAAACAGACATATGACCAGAGGAAAGAGAAAAAGTAGTATATTCAATTGGATTAATTTCATGCTAAAGCTTTTCATTGATACATTCTTGATAAATTAACTACCAAAAGACACTGTTATATTAAGAATGAAGTGATTTATGTCGACTAAGATTTAAGATGTAACTCTTAACCCTAAGAATGTGATCTGTTTATGATGAATGAACAATTTCTGGTGTATGAAAAAAGAGAATGAATATACAGATGAATCAGACTGTGAAACATGACTAATGTAAAGAATTACACTCCTATAAGCGTTTATACATTGCTGATTCAACTATTTAGCTAAAAATATAACAGGCAACAAGGGTGGTAGATGGATATTCAATTATCTTGAATTAATTAATTAAGATTAGGTAGATAGAGCTGGTCACATCCAGTACCTTATTTAGATTTTAATTGGCGACTTCTGTACTGAAATCTATGATAAGGGTTCGAAATTATTTGGAATGTATTGCACAATTCAATACAAGAAGTAGATTCATAAGCTCCAAAAGTTGCCCACCTCTTGTTTACATTCTAATGACAATATTTATATTGTTACAGCTCCTAGGTTTATCGTTTGTTAAACTACAGAAGCAATCATCATGCGTATCAAAATAATTTGACTCATGAAATGATAAAGATTTGTAGTTCAGATGAATGCTTTTGGATATATTGTGTCTGCAGAGCTCTATATGGTTCAATTCAGAAGCGTTATTTGTCGCTTTAAACAACACTATCATAGCTTACTTCATGTAAAATTTATCCAGAACGATAATGAAAGCTTAACGACTGAGATATACAGCTAAGAGAACACAATGCAACCAAAAAGTCGACTTGTTCATTTTAAAGAAACCAACAGGAATTAATGGCTATCGAATTAATAAACACATATAACATCTCATGATTAGTATTTTTTACACAATTTCGTAAATTTTGAAAAAACGAAATTTGTTGTGTGTTTTATGTTTAAATACGTTTGCGACATGAGTATGAAAGAACTAGTTCATTAATCGCAAAGAATCACACATGAAGTTGGAAATCAAATTCAACGAAGCTCAATAAATATTGGTTCAAACTGTTCACTAGTCTAAAAGTTATCCATTTAATAGTACAAATAAATTTTGATATGTAACGAATTACAGATACGCAAGTGAAGAGTTTAAGAATGGAATAATTGAGTAGAATATTTTCTTTTTCATTCAAATAACTGGTGTTTAATAATAATAATAATAATAATAATAATAATAATAAACATTTGTACTGATTATGGATTCCAGAAACTATTTTGAAAACAGGAAAAATAAATTAATTATTAAGATTTTCAGTTGGAATGAAGAATATTTTATTTATCCTAACCAATCGTTTGGATGATTGAATAAGAATCACTAGATTTTTTCGGTCGACTACCAGAGACTAAAGAGCTGTGGTAAATAATAATAACTTAACGGCTTTCCGTTCGTAATATGGTACTTCAACATAATGAAAAATATGTGTTTTAAATTAATAAGTACCAAAAGTTTACGATGACACAGTCACTGAATGTATCTTTTGGTCAGTTTTGTTAATAACATATAAAAAGAAGCAGATAAACCAAACTATTTGGACCTTGCTTATTTATAACCATTATTAAATTGATATAGACTTTAAAGAATGTTCTACTGAATCAAAGATAATCCATACAAGCAAACAGAACAACCGTAATTTTAATGACATGCAATGAGAATGGTCAAATAATAAAAAATTACCAACCTTGATCATCAATCAAAATGTTTTCTGGTTTTAAATCACGATAAACAATATTTTGTGTATGCATATGTTGTAAACCTAAAGTGATTTCCGCGGCATAAAATCTTGCTCGATTCTCATTGAAACCACTGCCATTATTCATATTATGTATATGAAATTTTAGATCACCACCGTTCATAATTGTAAGAACTAGGCACAAAGCATCTTTAGTTTCAAATGTATACGCCAGATTGACCTGAATACATCAGCAATAATAATAATAATAATAATAATAATAATAATAATAATAATAAACACGATGAGATTATGAAGCAGACGTGTGAAAATGTACGTCTGCTTTGACTGAAGATGAATTGTTTTAGTAGAATAGTGATGATAATGTACTAAACAATATCATGTCTATATCTCCAGCTTTCGTTGTTTCGATATATAATTTACTATGTGAATATTCAAATATTTAGCTATGAGCCTCAATTCAAGCGTAAAGGTTAAAGATATTACCCAACTGCCTAAAATGGAGTAGGTGAAGCAAGGTCAGAAGAATCTGTGATTCAACGATTGAAAGCTAAATGTTTTAATCCTAAAGTCGCCATTGTTGCTTTTGTAGGTGGATTCTCAGTGTCCATAAACCCGGCTAAAGCGCCGGACATTCTCTTTTCTTCCTCTCGATTTCGTAAACAACAGTAATGCCGCGACAAGGCTGTGAATAGGACTTCCCTAGCAGTAGTTGTATGCACGTGGCCATGTGAGAGCATTTCGAGAGGGAGAGCTGACTCTCCCCAATTTCGGCCGTACCAGGCCATTTGGGAGCCAGATCTACCACAAATCTACTACGTGGAGAACTACTTTTACCATTAAGTTTAAAGATAGTATGATTTTACCAAACCGTAAGATACAGGCTTCTCAAAATGTATTAACTGTGTTGGATATTTTTGTGGGTAATTATAATATATACTGTAATTATTGAATAGCAGCTAGGTAATTATAGTACTTTTCTTCTTATAGCTAATTTTCTGGTTCAAACCTCGCCTCATTTACTTTAGTTAAGACAGTCAAGTAGTCAGTAGACCTCAAACAGAAACGGATTATATTTAATCTCAATTCCAACATTTTATCTTATCATGCTGAGCCATCTGTTCCCATAGATAATTTCCCTATCTATTTTTTGATGAATACTTAAGCCATTAGCAATCAAAAGATGATTAAACTTTCCTTGCTTTATAAAAAAACTTTTTAATACCTTCGTTTATTTGACCTAACTGTCACCATGTCTAACAGAAGTTTATTATCAATATTATTATCATCCTGCAAAAATGAGTATATATATATATATATGCGATTGTACAACTTCGAAAATGAATTCGCCGAAAAGAGAACTCTTCGCTGAACTAATCTTTCTTATTTAATATCTTAATGGGTGCATTCCGTTTACTAAGAAATGGATGACCGAAATCTGATTATAAGGACCTATACTTGAGTGTTTAACTGCATTGGAAATCAAACTGTACCTACATCGTGTAAGGTTTTTCTAAAACAGATAGGAACCTGTATTGTCCCTTAGCCCTGGTGGTGAGATGCCGGAAGTAATTCGGGAAGTTTATGTACATGTGTAGTTGTGTGAGTGCTAGTGATGACTTGATAATCGAGATCGGTCGCGAAATCTAGACCAGCTTATGCCAATGTTAGTCACTACTGGCATCGCCGTGATGTTGGCCTGACCATGGATCTCCAGGTACATCGTGCTGCAAAGCGAACAGTCCTGTTAGATTTATGAATGTGGTCACACTAACCTGAGAATGTTAAAAAACTTGAAGTTTGATCGTCTCTCCTTTTAGGGGATTTCCCAAATAAGGTGTCAGTGTCAAGTAAGTAATGCTGATATTGAGAAATTTGCTTGGAAATGATGTAGATCACCCCGTAAATCCGTAATGTTACCTTGAAACAAGATTAAGTGGCTTGAAAAAACTTCTAAGCATGATCTACTAACTGTTGGACAGTGTTTGCTAGCTCTAGGAATAGGACAGAAGTGGAGAGGTCAGTTTATGATGTGAAGTCAGAGAATGAAAAGCATTTGTTTTGGGTTCGTATGTCTTGGTATATCAGACCTTTACACACTGGATAGTGAAATCATGAAACTCAGTGATTCGTGATGTTATTGAACAGTATAGTGGCTTACTAGTCAGGGGACTCAGCTTCAAGAAGCAAGTTTCATGTTCAAACCCTACTTTACTTGGTTTTGGTTGTGGAACTTAACAGTATTATTACCCCTTAAATAGAATGGTTCAAAACAGTAAATATAAAAGTATACTTGGTGAATGAATTAAATTATTACGGTCAAAAGCGACACTAGTGCCAATCATGTTGAAGTTTAATACACATACTCAAAATGTTATTATTAGGAAACCAAAATACTCTGTTAGTTTTGGACATAAAAGAAAAAGTGAAAAGTAACTCCAAGTAATTACTCAGTGAAAATAATACTTGGTGAATAGAATGGCATGACGAGTTTCTAACCAAACTAGGAAAAAATACTATCAGTTAAAAGTTAACAAACCACAAAGCGAGAATTGACTCGTTGTAATGTTTCCTTTTCCATCATGGCCATATTTTCTGCATGACGTTTTTTCATGCGTTTCTTCTCCATTTTCTTGCAAGCGTATAACTTTCCAGTTGCCCGAACTTGACAGGCACACACCTCTCCAAATCCCCCTTTGCCTAAGACTCGGTACATTCGAAAGGTGTGTTTGGTGACTGGTGTTCTGAAAGTGTGAAACAAATTGGCAATTTAGCTTGAATTCAAAAAATTCTTGTCACATCTTAAGATGTACATCGATGAGGGAAAATTAGATGAATTATCTTACTGGTATCTAGGATCCATAAACAACAAGAATTAGCTATTTTTAGTTTCCAAAAGTTATACTTCATTATTTAGAGGTTTTATAGGACACACATCGGTGCCGTTTACTAGCCATACTCGAATAAAGCTGAATTTACTAGTTGAGTTCCCCTAAAATGTTTTTCAGTAACACTAGAAGCACTCACTTTTAAGTGAATGTTATGGAATAACCATTAAATTTTTTTTATCCCTAATATCTATATAGTTAACATTTTACTGGAAGAATCTAATATCATCAATACACAGACAGTAAGATTGTGTTACGGAAAATATAATCTTTTGAATGATGAACCTTACACGAAATGACAAGCATTTGAACCTGTGAAACAAGCTAGAAATAGCTTGCAATCATGTATAAACTAAGTATAGTGGGAGTAGTATTGGCCAGTCGAATGATGAAAAAATTAATAAGACAGAGGCATGTTTAAGTCTACGCTTTCTCGCTTAGAGTAAACAAGCAGAAAAAATCAATATAAAGGAAGGTGAGAAAACTAAAACCACAACACTAATGACAACAGAACACAAAAATAGGGTAAAAAGTCTGCAGTAATTGAAGTGAAGGAACGACAAATATCACAATGTGTTTATTTAAAATAAAAGCCGTTGTTCAAAAACGCTGTTTTATAATATTTCCTCTAATGTTGAGAATTAATATGACCTGATTGAAAATGCTTTCCAAAATAAACAGGATTATTAACCTTATCGGATGGTTTATTAGCTCAAAATAGCATTATACATGACTTTGAACTACAATTACAGAACATTTCAACTACTACTAAGACTGACACCAGACTCAACTATAAAGTGAAAACTAAATATTCAGAAAGGAAATTTCTAACGCTACTGAACAATCAGTTGAAATACTACCATAAAATTCTTCAAAAACCTAAAGATCTTAGTCCATTTCACTAGAAGTTTAGGGAAGTATATCAAGGCAGAAAAGATGTGAATTTGTGACAGATAAACCTACTTTTCTAGCCATTTCCATTGAAGATAGCGATTAAAGTAGACTGAATTTAGAAATTCAGAAAATGGTGAATTTCGTAAGAAATCTTCAAGGATCTTGAGGATTGAACGAAAGAGTTCTTTGTCAGGATAAGCGTCATTGGACTCCTCTAGAGCATTTAACACTGAGTTATCGTCAATGTTTCCAAGCTGATGGAACCTTTTGCCACTCTAAGAGTACAATAATAAAAAGGATGTGTTACCATGTCTGAGAGAAACCTGCGGTAGATTTCCAATCCAATCTTTTGACGTTCGTTAGGAATGCACACCGCAAATGTGTTCTAGAGATGAAAAATACAAATCAGGATAATAAAGCGTACAATAGAATCCACAAAATCAACGACATCCGAAATGAAATTATTGCTCCTACAGAACAACCGAAACAGTCTCTTTCCAATCGGCTGCTGCTCCACAATAAAATCATAACTCAAATCTGCGCGAGAGAGCATTAGTAAAATCATTTCGTGAATACCTAAACATTTCTTCAAGTATAAACAATTAGATATGTGAGGGAAGGCTAGTAATGTTTTCCACTTTCTGCTTCGACCTTTGTCTCCATCAGCTCCACCTGACGTGAAACATTTTACTATATACCTTACTTCGTTTAGCCTTTATATACACCGTATTCGCAACAATATTTTCCAACTCCATACTTCATCATTAGACAGTAGAGTAGCGCATAGCTTAAGAATGAGACGTTCACATGATGTACAATACGTCAAGAAACAATAATGAATTAGTATATATGCCAAACGTCCTCCGATTTTTACGTGATTCTATGCAGTTCTCACGACACTTCGAATCTTTTACTCGACTGACGGTCTTTGTTTATCTCGATTCTACTGATGTAGTAAGCAGCTTGTTTCTACTAGCTCAGTCTCGTGACGTGGGTGGCTAGGATTTGTCCGACTTCTCTGTCTGAACCATCTCCAAGATAAGAGTATTACTATTCCTCGGTCAAACTAATGCTCTTCAAATCTACCTACCGCAGCAAGATTTTGAGTAAATCTACCCTAACATTCTCGTAAATAACAAAAGTAAGAGGGAATTATCGCAGTTCTCTATCAGATATCAGTAGCACTTCTGAGATGGCAACCCTACTTACAAGTGCCTCGAAAACTGCGAAGTTATAATTTATCAGTCGTTTACACACCATGCCTTAAAACACCGGCCATTAGCCTAGCAGCGTATATCCAGAACATACTTGCAAAGTTTTCCTTTTATAACAGCTATTCTCCACATAATAGGAAGCAAACGACTGGTTCCCAAGTAGACCTGTCCAATAACTGCAAAATTCACTATTTAATGGTGGAGGAGAGCACATTTTGGTTCTTACCAAATAATCTCAGCCTTTCAGCGTAACTTCGGTGACTGATGGTTATAATGTCATGATGAATAAAGATAAGCAAAAAACCTCTCATTCCAGTTAATAATTTCAAAGCTGAGGAACAATCCGTTTAATCGACAATTTCAACACACTCATTCAATAACATAACAATACTGGTTACAACTGTTTTCATTGAATTTTATCACTGGTTCTAGATTCGAACCACTAACTGCAAATCTCAAAGTGCACAACCGCAAATGGTCACAATATGGTGACCCTGGCCCCATAAAAATCCATGTCGGCTCGAGTAAACAGGATACGTGGTTGAACACCTCACCACTCCTGACATCAGCAGTGATAAAAATTTATGATCAAACGAAATCATTAGAAATTAATTTGACATATGGTGGTCACAGCCATTTAGAGGTAAATGCTCAGGGCTAAACAGATCGAATTTGTCACAGAACAGGAGGGACTAGATTCCTTTAACAACAGTCAAATTATTTTCTCCAGACTGGAGAGAGTTGGTGTCTATGTTGCTACGGAAAAAATTTCAAGCCCACCGCAGCATCAAAAAATTGTGCTGAACAATCTTTATTATTCCTGATTGCGTGGACCTTAGACTATTCTTCATATGAGGTACTTTCATTTGCTAAAAGAATGATTATTACTGTAAATGTGAAATAACAAATGCTTAGAATTTAACTTCCAAAAATGCTGAAGCCTTCTTTGATATTTTTTTCGTGAACAAGTAATCTTGTTTTCAGAAAACAATAACAGTTTTACAGAAATAATGGTCTGGGAATTCCTTCCAAATAGTCTTACTAAACAGCATTGTTGTTTCATTTATCTTTTAACCTGTTGTGTATCTTAACATCTAATCGAGATTCGCATACCCGTGGTTCTATATTTCTCAGTTTTCGTTTACTGGGAATTAATTTTCGGAATCTGTCTAGCACATACCATTGCTATATTTTTTAGTTATTAATGAACCCAGGTCAGTGACATTAAAGCTGTTTTCGACTGCACTCGGCGTATTTTGTTTGGCCCGGTCTCACAAGGATCTAGGGGTGACAGTGAGTCGTGATCTTAAGACGACGGCCCATTGCCGATAGGTCGCAGCTAAGGGGTTTAGAACCCTCTGGGCTTTAAAATGGACATATACTAAGTTAGGTACTATCATGTTCACCAAAGTATTCACATCCTTAATGAGAACTAAGCTTGAGAACTGCGTTCAGACTGCAAGACCCTGTTTAAAGGGTGACTCAGATATTCTAGAAAAAGTACAGAGAGCAGCTACTCGTGCGATTCCAGAACTCCGGAGTTTACCATACAAAGAGCGGCTTGAAAAGCTGGACTTCTTTACTCTGTCCTATCGTAGATTAAGGCAAGATCTAGTTTTGATGTACAGAATACCGAGAAATTATTTTGGACCTAACCTGTCCTCTCTTTTTCTTCCCACTAGATCGGGATATCTCGGAGGACATAGCAGGCGAGTAGAAAGGCCAAGAACAAACAAAATACCCATGGCATACAGGTTTTCACACCGAGCCATCAATACTTGGAACCTGCTGCCCGAAGTAGTGGTGTCCGCACCTACATTTGACTCTTTCAAGAGACGACTAGACACTCAAAGAAGCATACTAGAAAAGGAATAACATAGGCCGTTGGCCTTCTTTACTTACTACACAAATCTGAAAACTGTTATTTATTGACCGCCTGGCTGAAACAACTATTCAAATCCCTGCAGATAAAAATTTGATCTTTTTTTATCAAGAGCATTTTTATTGATTCTTAGGCTCTGATTATCGACTTATTAATCGTTCTTTTTTCCATACAGAACGCTATTTCATGTGAGAAAAAACGTGACTGTGCGGTGCAGGATGTACTATTTGAGATAGTTTGTACTGTTAGTATGATTTGTTTTTTGTTTTATCTAGACTAAATAAATCAAACACAGAGTCCATCTTCTGACAGTTCAACACGATTAATTCAAAAAGGCTTTGTACGCTATACATAAGAATGTCGTTTGGTCTGATCAAATAAAATTTGCTTCGTTTATCTGCCGCATTCATACTAAATACTGGGGCTTTGGTTGATACAGCCGGTGATAACTATTAACCAAATGTAGCGTAATTCTACACTGAATTTTTCTATACGATTACAACGCGTCAATTAACTCCCAGATCGTTCACTACTTAGGTATCATGTGTCAAATCATAGTGTTGAGTATCCCACTCAGAGAAAAGTAGCGAACAGCTTGAAAAAAGTCCAACAGAGATCATGTAATGAATGTGCTCAATATGAGCGTTAAATCCATAATTTAGATAGTCTTTATCAGGTTAGTGAGGAATTATGTTTTCAATATACGTGTGTTTATATGTAAATAAACATATTCACGTGAATATATTCCTTCAAGAAGTATTTCTTCATTTCGCTTTCATACATGTATTGTTATTTCCAATAATCACTGCATTCAAGAACATTTTATCTGTACTTGTTCGGCGCGCTATTTAAAAAGGACAGTGGTATTTTTCCTCGCTGAGTAAATTTCATTGTTTTGATCGTTTATTACATATCAAGACTACTGTTTTCACTTTAATTGAATTTATTTCAGTTAAAGTATTCGACTAGAGTACCGTTTTTACCGTTCTCTCAATTAGTTTTGTCGTTGGTACTCTTGAGTACCTCATTTTCAATTGTATCTGTTAGTAGTTTTGGTCCTAACAATCTACAGTTCTTCACTTTTTTGTCACTGATTATTTTTTGTTTCTGAGTATCATCGCATCTCGTTCCTTTTTGAAAAGGACTTTTTAAGTGACCGGACAGTGTAAAAAAAGGAGTTGCCAACGTCCGGGTTGTCGTTGTCCCGTTGAAAGCGGCATGCAGTGCGACGAGTGCAAAATCTGGTACCACGAATTTTGCACGAACTTAACGCCTGTGGCTTTCAAACGGTTCAGTAAGGAAAGCTGCGTATGGATTTGTCAACAGTGCTGTTCGGATGCAAACGGCCTGTTAACCGAGGCCATCTCACTGGTTGATGCTGCAAAGAAGTGTTTTAGCAAGCGTAGTCGGAACACGTCAAACAGCACTCAATCTGCCGGCACACAAATCGACATAAGGCAAACTAAGGTTAGTTCGATAGTAGATAACTCACGCCGGTCAAAGAAGGAAAAGCCGTCTTTAATGGGGTCTGCCTTAAAAAAAGCTCAAGGAAAGTAGGTTCTTCTGTTCCCCGTCTCCCAGATGGGATCCAACAGGAAACACCTAGAAGCCGCAATCGCAAGGCTCGATCGGTTTCAAATGTTAAACATAACCTGACCTCTCAAGTCGTCGACATCCCTCCAGAATCCAACACTAGGTTTGACGCAACTGTTGTTGCTTCTCCCAGCACCGTTGACGAGTGGGTACAGGTTGTAAGGAAGGAAAAAAGTAGCGATATAAAATGTGATCCTACCCCCTCGACAGTAGTTGAAAAATCGGAAGCTGATCATAGCGACAGACCAGCTTTTTTCATAGAAACAAGGAGAGCGATAGCTCTGAACCTAAAGCTCGTTTTGAGCATGACATTGTGCTGATGAAGCAGCTGCTTAATCAACTCATGCCTCAAAATATCACCGGGGTCACCTTGCTAAAGGTGTACAGACTAGGGAGTCTAGCGGACTTGAAACCAAATCATTCCAGACTGCTTAAAGTAGTATTCAACTCTTCGAACGAACGTGACCTAATTTTACGGAATGGACACAAATTAAAGGGTTCAGGAGTCTTTATCCGAAAGGACTTACCGTTGGCAGACCGTGTTAAAAGACGGGAAGCCAAAAAGAACTACAACTTAGGTTAGACGCTGGCGAAAAGGACCTGAAAATTGTAAATTTTCGGGTTGTAAGGCTTCGACAGAGAATGATGCCGAAGCCACTCTGGGTGAAGCACGAAGCCACTTAAACAGGCTTCGGATCTGCTACATCAATGCCCGAAGCTTACTTAATAAGCGATCGGAACTAGGTGTACAGATTGACTCTACAAAGCCAGACATAATCGCAAACACAGAAACCTGGCTGACACAGGCTATAGATAGTATGGAACTTGTTTTCGAGGGTTTTACGTTAGTAAGGGCCGACAGAATACAAAAGCGTAAAGGAGGGGAGTAGCTCTATTCATTAGGAATGCTATCCCATTTGCCATTATCGACAGTGTATCCCATGAGAGTGGGACGTGTGAATTAGTTAGTTGCCGCTTGAAATGCAAGGGACAAGAGCTGCTGATTGGTTTGGTCTATCGCAGTCCAAGCTGTGAGGTAAATGAAGTCCTGCTAAGCAGTCTCAAT